GAAGTGGTCGCGTTCGAGGTGAAGTCGGCGTCGATTTCCACCTTCTGGCACAAAGATTTAGACAAGGGCAAAAGGTGGAAGGGCCGCACTATCTCAGGGCAAGTCAAGACCAAGGATAGCCTTGTGCTCACTTTAGATGAGGGTAGTGTGGACGAGATCCCCTACGACCAAATTGAGTGGGGGTTCAAGCAGGAGGACAGTAGTGTGGGCTAGGGGAGGACTTACGCTGCTGTCGCGGCTGGAGGGAGGCCGCAAGGAGGACGAGGCCAAGGCCAAGGGGGGCGGGCCTCAGGGAGCCGGTTCCAGAGCGATCAGGGGGTTGGCAGCAGAGGAGGGAACCGCCAAGCGGGAGGTAGGGGTCAAGGTCCCCCGCAAAACTGTCCTAGGAACATGTCTCCCTATAGAATAGGAGGTCGGGTGAGGTCGTGGGAATCTTTGGGTTTGGAGCAGGCTTTATGGCAACAACGATTGAACCGGGACCAGTGCATTTTCTGCGGTGACCCGGGGCATATCATCAAATATTGTCCTAAGTATCGAGAGACCCGAACGATTGCTCAAGAGCCAACAGGCAGCCGCCGGTAGGGGTAGCGACCGCCCCTACCACTAGGCCATGTGGGGAAAATAGCGCTAGCCGGCAGGAGACTCCCACACCTCATGTGCCTACGGCAGAGGTTGCAGGCCGGTGTCTAGACAGCTGTCCCGARACTGCTTGTGTTAGAGTTTCGCTAGACACCTCCCTCACGGGCGTGGCGGAAGAGTGGAAGGAGAGGAGGCCCGCCTGGGCCAAGATGAAGAAGGAGAATAAAGGGCAGCTGATTTGATTAGATGCAGAGATTTTTAGAAGTAGAGTAGGGGCCCTAGTAGACTCAGGGGCCACCTGCAGCTATATTAGTAAGCAAGAGCTGCAGAAGTTGAGGCTGGGACTTAAGGTTCAGAAACTGACAAACCCCATAGTTAGTATCCTCGCGGACAATCGTACCATGGTCGTAGAGGATTACGTAGAGGGAGTCAGGCGTATTTCCGCCTAGAGAAAGATGGGAAGGTGGAGAAGGTCCTCCACTCCCTGACTCTCCTCGTAGAGGACAGCCTCCCGTTTGATATAGTACTGGGAATGGATTGGGGAGAGGCAGTCGGGGCAACGCTCCATCTGAAGGAGCACGAGTGTAGACTCCCTAGTTCTGCAGGCGAGGCTAAGACTGCCCGCCTGTTTCATGTGTCAGGAGTAGAGAATTCCTTGGCACAGTGCTGCCTTAGTGCCCCTGCGTTCGCCAGATTGGTGAAGAAGGAGAAATTAGAGGAACAGGTCTTTGTTGCCTATGTTAGGCTTGACACTGAGCCTACGGAAGAGAAGTCGATGGACCCTGCGATTGCCAAGCTGCTGGAGGAGTTTAAGGATTTGACTGAGGCGCCGACAGGCACGGTGCCGCGGCCCATCCAGCACCGTATCGAGATAGAGCCTGGCAGTAGAACTCCTAAGGGTGCTGTGTATAGGATGTCCCCGCGGGAGTTAGAGGAGTTTCGCAAGCAATTAGACGAGCTCCTCGAGAAGGGTTGGATTAGGCCCAGTTCGTCTCCTTTCGGAGCGCCTGTTCTCTTTGTTCCTAAGAAAGAGGGAGAGATGAGAATGTGCATAGACTATAGGGGTCTGAATGCTATTACAGTAAAGAATGCTGAGCCACTGCCTAGGATCGACGATYTCTTAGATYGAGTGSAGGGGGCTAAGTATTTCTCTAAGATAGACTTAAAGTCCGGATATCATCAGATAGAGGTACACCCTGATGATCAGTATAAGACAGCCTTCCGGACTAGGTACGGGCATTATGAGTTTATAGTGATGCCCTTTGGACTAACCAATGCGCCAGCAACTTTTCAGCGGTGTATGAATGATTTGTTTAGGCCGTGGTTAGACAGATTTGTTGTAGTTTATCTAGATGACATTCCAGTGTTAAGCCGGACCCTCGAAGAGCATCAGGTTCATCTCAGGCAAGTCTTGGAGAAGCTGAGAGAAGCTAACTTCAAGATCAATGCAAAGAAGTGCGATTGGGCGAAGACCCAAGTTTTGTATCTAGGCCACGTCTTAGACGGAGACGGCGTTAAGCCAGAAGATAGCAAGATCGCAGCGATTAGAGATTGGCCCACGCCACGTACGCTGACAGAGTTGCGCTTCTTCCTGGGCTTAGCGAATTACTACAGGAAGTTCGTGAGGAACTTCTCCACCATCGCTGCGCCCCTTCACAGATTGTTGAGAAAAGAGATAATCCGGAAGTGGGATAAGGACTGCACGTCTGCCATGAAGAAGCTAAAGCAGGCGTTGATAGAGTATCCGGTCCTTAAGGTCGCCGAYCCGTCCTTGCCTTTTGTCGTTACTACGGATGCTAGCCAGTACGGGATAGGCGCAGTGTTACAGCAAGACGATGGCAATGGSTATAGACCCGTAGAGTTCATGCCCGCTAAGATGCCTTCAGAGAAGGTTGCGACATCTACCTATGAGAGAGAACTCTACGCTCTCAGGCAAGCATTAGACCACTGGAAGCACTACTTGCTTGGGAGGCACTTCAAAGTCTATTCAGACCATGAAACGTAATGATGGTTAAAGACCCAGGCCAAGATAACACCTAAGCTTACTAGGTGGGTCGCAGAGATAGATCAGTACGACTTCGAGCTCAAGCCTGTCAAAGGGAAGTACAACGTAGTCGCGGATGCTCGTGAGTAGGAGAGGAGATTACTTTGGGGCAATAGTACATTACCCCGATATAGGAAAGGATCTGCAGCAGAAGGTTAGAGAAGCCTACACGCAGGACCCTATCTATAGTGAGCTCCTCACGCGAGTCAAGGAGGCCCCAGAGACCGAGCCGAACTACCGCACTACTGGAGGGTTACTCTTCGAGAAGACTAATGTCTTTGACCGGTTGTGCATCCCCAATAGCGAAGAGATCCGTAGTMTGATTCTGGGGGAATGTCACGACACAGARGGTCATTTCGGTTGGCAAAAGACTTTGGCCAATCTGATGCGCGCGTATACCTGGCCAGGGATGAAGAATGACTGCGTAGAGTATGTTCGCAGTTGCAAAGTCTGCCAGCGTAATAAGAGTTTTATGCGCGCCCCGCTAGGTCTTCTCAGACCCTTGCCCATTCCGGAGCAGCCGGGAGACTCAGTGTCAATAGATTTCATGGACACTCAAGTTAAGAGCAGGCATGGCAAGAGTCAAGTCATGGTCATAGTTGACCGCTTTAGCAAGTACGCAGTTTTTGTTCCTTTGCCTTCTGAGGCGCGTACTGATTTAGTCATACAGAGGTTCTTTGACTGCTGGGTTAGAGAGAACGGAATCCCGCTGTCTATAGTTAGCGATAGAGATAGTCGCTTTACTAGCCAGAACTGGCAAGAACTCATGGGAGTATACGGATTTAAGTTGTTGATGTCGTTCGACCGCCATCCAGAGACTAACGGGCAGACAGAGCAAATGAACAAGATCCTACAACAAGTTTTGCGCATGTATATCAGGCCAGATCAGATTAACTGGGATGAGATGTTGCCTAAAGTAGCTAGTGCGTACAATAACATCGTGCATTTAGCTACTTGCCGCACTCCCAATGAATTGCACAAGTCCTTTAGACCGTGCAGACCGTTTGAGGGACTCAACCGGGATCAGATTCAGAGATTGCCGCCAGGGACCCGGGAGTTCGCTGTACAGCACGAGAAAGAACTAGCTATTGTTGTAGAAAACCTCAGGAAAGCCCAGCGTAGGATGATAGAACAAGCAAACAAACATCGTTGCCCTTCACAGTTTCAAGTAGGCGACTTAGTCTGGGTTAGTTCGAAAGAGTTTGCACCTGAGGAGAACATCTCGCAAAAGTTACTGCCCACATATAGAGGACCGTGGCCTGTTCTTGAAGTCAAGGGCGGTGAAGATGGACCGTCCTATACAATAGAACTACCAACACACCTCCACACGTATCCAGTTTTCCACGCATCGAAGTTGCTACCTTGTCAAACAAGTGATCAGTTTCCATCCCGTAGATCAATGATCCCACCTGATACGGATGGAAGGTATGACATAGACGGTATAGTGGCTGAGGATGTCTTCAGAATTGGAGGTAGGGGTCGTTCGCAAAAACAGTACAAGGTTCATTTTAGTTATCAAGAACCGGAAGACGACCGCTGGTTTACAAGATCTGAACTTCTAGAGACAGCTCCCGATATAGTCCGGGCCTATGAAAGAGAGCAGAAGGGTAAAGGTCCTGCCTTGGACTGAAATTTTCTCGGAGGACCTCGAATTTAGGCCCGCGGGAGTGAAACGGTATTCACCAGTTCGCAGTAGCAAATGCAGATCCCAGGGCTCGATCCCTAGTTCCCCATCTTACCTGTGTACAGTATTGATGACAACCCGTAGATTTGAACCTGCGACCTGTCGAAAC